TTATATGAAGATACTAAAGATACTAAATTGCAATAAAGTCAAAGTAGACAGCATACTTTTTTTTGTTTTGTTTTGTTTTTTTCGGTACGCGGGCCTCTCACTGTTGTGGCCTCTCCCGTTGTGGAGCACAGGCTCCGGACACGCAGGCTCAGCGGCCATGGCTCACGGGCCCAGCCGCCCTGCGGCATGTGGAATCTTCCCAGACCGGGGCACGAACCCGTGTCCCCTGCATCGGCAGGCGGACTCTCAACCACTGCACCACCAGGGAAGCCCGTCTCAGCATACATTTTTAATGTTTTATCATTTTGAATGTGTTTGCTTTGTGTTAGCCATGACAGGCATGATGGCCCAGGCAGACCTTGTCACAAGTAGCTCAAAGACAAAATGCTGGTGTTACCAATCATGGTTGGATGTTTTCTTTTCCTAAAGAAGCTTGCTCCTATGGTCAGATTTCTTTTATGCTTGATTTTTCTGTTATGAGACTTGCGCTGATTTTCTTGGCTCTTTTATAAGACAAGGACCATCTTTGGTTTAACGTCATACCCTCACGTGAGCAGAAAAATGTTCATAAATTGTTTTAGATGTGGATTTTGACTTCACTGCTGTAAAGTAAAACTGTTTTGTTTCATTGTAGTTGATTCCATGTGTTTAGTAACACAAGGAATGAAAAGAAGCAACAAAATCAATGGCTGTAGCCGTCGCCCTCTAAGGCTTCTGTTGAGTTGGAGTTTTGCTCTGCGAAACGCTGTGAATCTATAAAGAGGCTTTTCTCCCCCTTTTCCGCTGAGGACTGATCTTCATCTTTTCATATCACTCCTGTTGACTGTCACTGTCCATCTCCTTCCTCCTTTGAAGGACAGAGAAGTAATAGAGGCAGACTGGGAAGAAGGAGATGAGAAACAGGAAGAGAAGGGAACCAGCATCTTACTGCATCTTTACTTTATTCTTAGGTCTGTCTATAGTATGGTCATATTCAGTCCAAATAATTATCCTATGAAATAGCCATTGATTTTATAGAGGAGAGAGTTAGGATTTGGAGAGGTTGATAACTGGTGGAGCTGAGATTTAAACTCAGATATCCCTGACTCCAAGACCTGCTCTTTGTGCTGAAACACCTGAGAGAGACCTTGGAAGAGACCTAGTTCAGCCTCCTCATCTCATATCTGAATAGATACATTATGTATATATTACTGTTCATAAAAAACATATCTATCAATGACTGTGCTAAGCACTTGACACGCGTTATCTAATCTAATATTCACACGGACTGTATGAGGCATGGAGAGGTTAAGTAACTTGCTTAAGTCATCAGTGGAGTAAACGATAGAGTCTAGATATCAACTTGAGGTGGTCTGACTCCACAGTCGATCGTTACACTGAACTGCCTTGATGTTTTTCTCCTACATGAAGAAATCAAAATGGACAGAGATTAAGTGACATTCCCAAGATCATCAGCTCTTTGGTGACAGAATAGAGTCTAGACTCTGGGTTTCCTGAGGGCCAGTTGTTAGCTCTTTCTTCTGTTCCACAGTGTACATCACCTAATTGGAAATGGAATAAAATAAAAGCCCAATCAAAATGGAGCTGGAGTGCTTTGTGGCACCTGATTCTGCCACCCCTCAGAGCTCAGCCATCTACATTCTCATGAATTGCTAGGGAGTGTGTTCCTCTGTGGGAAATCAGGTGTAGAAGTGTCTTTATGAGCTATAGCTATTAAAAATACACACATTGGGGCTTCCCTGGTGGTGCAGTGGTTGAGAATCCGCCTGCCGATGCAGGGGACGTGGGTTCGTGCCCCGGTCCGGGAAGATCCCACATGCCGCGGAGCGGCTGGGCCTGTGAGCCATGGCCGCTGAGCCTGCGCGTGCGGAGCCTGTGCTCCGCAACGGGAGAGGCCACAACAGTGAAAGGCCCGCGTACCGCAAAAAAAAAAAAAAAAAATACACACATCCACACATTATTTCCTTTTTTATATTAGTGAACACTGACTATAATAAATCAGAAGAGGGGTTTTTGATAGTTCACTTTATAAATTGCTTTAAATTCTAGTTACAATTAAAGTTATTCATTTCATGAGATTATTTTCTTAAATTTCTGTACTGTCAAGAGCAACATGTCAAAATGTGGTGAAAATAGTTCTTTTCTCAGAAACACTGGAAACGTCTCTGAGTTTAAGCAAGTTTCCAGTGCAATGTGTATAATAAATCACCTGTCTCTGTTTTAAAATTGTCAGTAACAGGCTTCCCTGGTGGCGCAGTGGTTGAGAGTCTGCCTGCCGTTGCAGGGGATGCGGGTTCGTGCCCCGGTCCGGGAAGATCCCACATGCCGCGGAGCGGCTGGGCCCGTGAGCCATGGCCGCTGAGCCTGCGCGTCCGGAGCCTGTGCTCCGCAACGGGAGGGGCCGCAACAGTGAGAGGCCCGCGTACCACAAAAATAAATAAATAAATAAATAATAAAATAAAATAAATAAAATAGTAACAGAATGGAAACTGTAGCACTTACCAAAGGAGCAAGTACTAAAATAAAAGTACTCTACTTTTTTAACAGTCACATGACTTCCACAAATCAAAGCCGTTTTCTGGAAGAGATGAGTCGTTATCTTTACTGAATGAGCAGTGATGGCTGTTAGCCTTTGATAAGCAGGATGTAGGGTGTGATTTGGGCGTCTTCTTGGATTCCTTTAGTATTTCCTGGGTGCTTGCAGAGCATGTGGTGGGATAGTGTATAGCGTAGTGGGAGGGAGAGAAACATGGATGACACCAGAGACCCTGCCCTGGCCCCTCACGTCAGGCCAAGTAGAGAATTCTTAACCTTGCATTCCTCCTTTCTTCTTTCGTGTTCTCTCTTACACTCAGGCTGTGCTGTAATTTGATCCTGCAGTAGTGATGAGAAATAGTCACTCCTCCATGCTTGATAGAGAATGATGCAGTGAAACTTTGCCTATCACTTGTCCCTAGAGTGTCGCTTGTCCTGCCACGCAGAGCCTTCCAGTCCCTACCCTTTCATGTCACACACACTAAGATAAGTTATGAAAAAGAAAGATAAACGATAAAGACATAGAAAGCCCAATTTCAATGCACAGGAGGTAAAAAACTGCAAGTCTAAGAAAATCCCAGCCGAAAACATACCTTTTCTCTTTGCCAAGGGTGTGGTAGTAGTTGGGCAGGTAACCATACTCCAAAGACTTGTGCCACAGTGAGTGTGGATTTGTTCATATCATTTAACCCCCCTGAAACTCAGTATCTTCACGGATAAGAGATCAAGAGTAATACTATTTTGGGGGCACAGGGGAGCCTCTTTCTCTCTCTCTACATAAAGGCAGCCTGTTTCTGTTAGCCTTGCTTGTTATTCTGCTTGCTGCCCCCCTGAGGAAGAATGAGCTGGACACAGTGATTATGTGTGGAATGGCTATAAAGTAAAGAGATGGCACCATTCAAACATGCAGTGGAGTTCACAAGTATATAAATGGGGTCCACTTACGAGACTTACCTGCCAGATTTCAGACCTAGACATTGAGGACGGAAGTAGTTGTACTGAGTTGTTTAGAAAGTGTCTGCTCACTGTGCGCGGAGCCAGTCTTATTACTTGTCAATTCTTGCTCTTTTGCGCCGTCCCCACCCCAACCCCATTATTACATAATGCTGTGCTAAAGGATTTTTCCCTGTTTTCCCAATTGAATCCTACCCTTAAAACAGGAGGATATACTATTGCTAATGTCATTCTAAAGAAAATATTGCTGGCTTTGAAGCCATGGAAAAAATATTTCAATATTTTGACATTTTTCTTTACTTTGTTCAGTCTTTAGTGATGCATTATTTTAGTGTATGCAATATCTTCAAGGTGAAAAGATTTAACTTCTTTGTTAGTAATTTTTGGAAAATATGTATCTTATTGCTTATGCTTTTTTTGCAGGGCATGGGGTGGGGATGTGCGTGTGTTACAGAATGTATTTCTTCCCCTTGATGTTTGATCTTCGAATGAAGGGTTCTTGTTAGCCTAAAAAACAAAAATTCAAGTAATCATTATAATAAGGTTCTCCTAGGATGGCTTTTGAGTGGGGATAGCACTTAGTTTAGTTCTGTAAATTGATTTTAAAAAACCAATTTCTTTATCATACTTTTGTGTATATTATATATTTTATATATATATATGTGTGTATATACATATATACATATATATACATATATATATATATATATATATATACACACACACACACACACACACACACACATATAAGTTCTTTGTTCTTGTTATGCTAAAGGGAAATAATAGGTTGTTTCTCAGAGATACACCTTCAGGGACATGTGGCCACAAACGTTTAGTTATTCGTGTCCCCGTGCATTTATTTCCTCTAAAGTAGCTCTTTGAAGCTCTTCTATAAGGTTACATTGGACACTGAATATGTACTAAGAAATTTGGTTTGGAATTGGTGTCTTAGAGTTTGCAAGATAGAGGGCAAATCATTTTTTTGTCTCCTCTTTGCTCCCTCTTCACTTAAAAAGCTTTTCTCTGTAGAAGATAGCTTTTATGCATAAAATGTAGCTACTTATAAGTACCTGCTACGTGCAAGGTGAAATCTGGTTAAAACAAACACTGAAAGTAACCACAGAGAGAAAAATGCCACCAAAAGTACTAAATCACTTCTTCGCACATGGTGGGATTTTGTAATACGATTTTATGTACAGAAGCTTCAATTAATATTTTTAAAAGTAGATCAGAGTCACCCTTTGCCTTCTGCAATCAACCACTAGTCATGACAGTCATTATAGTTCTTTGGAGCAGTTCAGCCCTTGGAGTAGGCAGGAATGATTAAATCGCATGTATGGTGAAATAAAAGGTAATATTCATATTGGTAAGAATCTTTATTCTTTATATTTGATATGTTTACAATAGCCATCATAATAGCGTATTCACGTGGCTTCATTCCCCTAGTGACATCACACATGAAAAGAAAAAAAGACAAGTTTCGTTTAACACCTATATTTTCTTTCTATTAGGGCGTGTTGGAGAGTTTCCTGGGCACCGCTGTCTCTGGAGCCGTTTTTTGCCTCTTCGCTGGTCAACCACTCACTATTTTGAGCAGCACAGGACCTGTTCTAGTTTTTGAGAGGCTGCTATTTAATTTCAGCAAGTATGTATATACATATCTAACTATAAATTAGAATTGTTTAATTGTGGACCATTCATAGTCTAGATAGAGCACAGAGTAGTAATTAGGTATAACAGAATACGAGAATTTTAAGATTTGGAGGTTGAAAGGCCCTTAGAGATTAAGTCCTCCAGCACGTGTTTACGTTTGCTTCAGCTGAGGCTGCTATGTTCTGTTACCTCTTGCCCTCCCCCATGATTCTCTGCCTTGTTGTCCTGCTTTGTGCCTCTGGAAGCTGGCCGCTGTGGACTGCAGCACTCAGGCTCCTTTGCCCTCTGGCTTCCTGCAGAGCCCCAGGAACACAGGCAGGCAGAGAGGTCAGGGTGTGTCTGCTTCCCACCTCACTGCCTCTGCTTCACCAGGCAGTCTGGCAGTGTGGCTTTGTCCTCTGAGTGTAGCCCCTGTCAGGTGTCTCCTCCCTACTGCCTCCAGCCCTCACCAGGCTCTGGTGACTCTTACTTCCTTGGCCTTTTCAAGCCAGGGGGTAGAAATGGCTTCCTGATATTGCCAGTCCCTGAGTACTTGCCATTTTTTTGTTATTCATACCTCTGTAAATAGTCCATGTGTTAAGTTTTCCTCAGAATCCCATTGGAGATTGCCTTCTGTTTCCTGCCATGATCCCGACTGACACACTAGAGAAATGAAGTGGCTTGTTCAAGGTCACGTGGCTCGTCTGTGAAAGAGACTGGGTGTTCCTGTGGTCCACTGCTCCTAACCCCCATTCCAGCGTTCTTAACTAAAGATACATTTCTAGACTCAAATGAGTAATAACTAACACTTACTGAGTGCTGACCATTTACCAAGTATTGTCCTAAGCACATTACAGGCACTCCCTCATTTATTTCTTGTAGCAGTCCTATGAGGTAGGGACTGTCTCCTGTTTTATAGATGAGGAAGCAGGCATGGAGTGGATAAGCAAACGGCTGAAGGTTGCATCACCAGTCGTTGGCAGGGCTGGGATTTGAATTCCTGCTTTCTGACTCCAGAGCCTACGCCTTTTATGGAATCACTAGACGTTACTACTGGGCATGACAGTTGTGATACCAGTATTTTCTTTTAGAAGTTGATGGATCATTTTAGGAAGGGGAAAACTGAGTTAAGCAAATTATCCAAGTGACCACAATGGCACACAAATAGGTTCAAAATCAGATTGGGAATTCTGGCCTCTTTCTAATGAACTTAATATGTCTGAGAGAGAATTGCCTCTACTGGCAGATTTCAATACCCAGACAGATTGCAGAATTTCATACGACTTGCTAACATTCCTTGTTGGAATTTAAATATACTTCTATTGTTATACATTTCTGGGATTTTAATATTAGAAATGTCATTACCTACTTAATGCCTCATGGACATAAAGACTCATATAATGGCCTTTGAAACTGTGTGTGCCATCAAAAAAGATCACAAGAGAGAGGAGGGAATGAGAATTTGAAATGAGTGTTTTGAGAACTGGGTTGAAAAGAAAAGCAAGGGTCTTCCAAGAATTTAAAGTCCCAAATTTTAAATAGTGTTATGTTTTCTGTAGATCATTACTACAAATCACTCCATCATAATTCTCAGAAGACCATTGGAAAGAATTCTGCTCATGTCAGTTTATAGAAAGAGTCAAACAGTTTATATATGTTTAAGAAAATATTGTAGGAGACAAGAAAGCCTTTGTGGAAAGATTAAACAGGCATGTACTATAAACAGGAACAAACATGTGCAACCTTTGCAGCAAGATTTATTGGATGCAATGTGATCAGAGCCTTAATCTACAGAAATGTTTGCATCATGGTTTGCTTTAGACAATTGTAGGATAGAGATTATTTCCTTTCACTAAGCAAGTTCCTTTCTCACTTTCCCTTCTGTTTCATCATATTTGGAAACTTAAACATAGTTTCAAGTGATTTATTTTCAAATGGTTGTAAAGCAACAAGAAACATTTGAGAAACTGTGTTTTAAATCCATCACTGGACAACATGTGACACTTATGTGGCAAACCTTATTCTTTAATTCACAATACTATATCATTTGCTTACATATCATAACAGCAATGCTAACATTTTAAACAGATACAGAGTATTTGTGTAGATCACTGTTTCCCAAAGTGTGTTTCATCATTTACTAGTTTCATTAGATGCCCCATGAAAAAAAACCTTCTGTGATCCCGGTAAGTCTGGGAAGTGCTGTACATTATATTATATCCCCCTCTTGGTCATTCACTTTACACTTTAGCATAGTAAGGGATCTGAGAAGTCGTTCAGTAAAGAAACTGTTTTACTGTGTTTTGCCCTGATTTCCCCCATCATATTTTACCTTTTTTTTTTTTTTTTTGGAGAAATAGGTAAATCCTTGTTTTTTGAGTTCAGTGGACTCAAACAGTAACTCCACATAATCCACAGATTTATCTCATCTCTGGAATCCTTTTTTTTTTTTTTTTTGGAGAAATAGGTAAATCCTTGTTTTATGAGTTCAGTGGACTCAAACAGTAACTCCACATAATCCACAGATTTATCTCTGACTTGGAATACAGGTTTTAATATTTGCCCTATAAACTGGGGAATCGTAAAGGCATATGAATGATATGCTGTCACCTTTTAAAATTAGTAACAGAATGAAGGAATAGCTCACAACTTTGCAGAGAACACGTAGTTTTGTTTCCCCAGTTCTGCAGTCTCTTTTGCGCTATTTTTACACGTTGATCCCAATAATAGAGAATTAGATTCCTTTTCCTTTTCTTCAGGAAGGATCTGAAGGAGGTTTTAACAGTGTTCTAAGCCACTTAGAAACTTCATAATTAAAGTTGGATTTTAGCCTGTACAATTGTCATTTGGTCATTTAATAATTTCTTTCTTATATTCTATGAACAGTTTACTTTTGGCCTTCAAATTATGAGTTCCTTCTATTCAGTTCCTGGATTTAATCATTTAGTTTAGGGAGTTTATATTTATTTGTCAGTGGCTGATTTCTGAAGCATATGCTTCAAATGTGAGCTCTTCAGTTTGTCTGTACTCTTGGGTTTATGCTGCTCAAAACTATCACTTAAAATCTCTAGAAACACTGAGTGTTACCAAAAGGATATACGCCCATCTTCTCCTTCTCACTCACTATAGCTTCTTTGGTCTCTACTATCATTTCCTTTTTATAGCTTGTAACTTTTTATAACTTAACTGCTATTTAAACTTGGCACCAAGGGGACTGATAGTCTTATTGGATGTAACATTGCCTTTTATTGTGGTCATTACTGTTGATCGGCTTGTTTAAAGAAGTTCCTCATCTTTTATTCCTCTTTCTTCTTGCTGTTGTAAACATATCACTTTCCTACCTAATGGAGTGATTGGTATTAGTGATTTTATTTGGGTTATTCTTACAGAGCCAGTCTGGGAGTATTGAAGTATTTTAGAGGAGCTATTTTGGCATATTGTTCAGGTCCTAAGATTTAAGTTTATACGTGCATTGTTTTCCCCTTTGTATTCAGACTGATAGTGTTCCTGACCATTAGCTGGTGATTAGATTTATTTCTCATCCTGTTTGTAAACATCAATTTTGTAAACACCCATTAGTATTCTTAGAACAAATTAAGATTGCTCTAACTTTCATCTTGTTAGGGAAGGAAAACTAGATAATTGTTTAAAACTTTATTTTAAGGAGAAAGTCTGTTGGCTCAGAAGTAATAAAACTGTTTCTGAGCTCTGACTCACTGTGTGATAATGTAAATTATCTCAAATTCCTAGAATTTAGCTTTTTCTTGAGTCTACTTATCTCAGAAAGACATGCATAAGATTAAATACTGGGGTTCCAGACGTAAAGGGAACTGTGAGGGAATGCCAAAGATGTCTTCAGAAAGATTTCAGGAAATCTGTAGAAGATAGCTTTCTACCCAAGTGTTACTAATCTCCTGCTTTGGTAATGTATTCCAGTTTGTGTGATTTGGTGAGAAGGAAACAGAGGACAGTGACTTTAAGGCCCACCCTACCATGAGCTAAATATAAATTGGATAGGAGGAACCGTGCTGGAATTTTTAAAAGGAGCAGTCCAAGAGTACAGAGATTTGGTTTCTGGTCCAGCTCTGCCATTAAAGCCTTGGCATTGGGCTTCCCTGGTGGTGCAGTGGTTGAGAGTCCGCCTGCCGATGCAGGGGACACGGGTTCGTGCCCCGGTCCGGGAAGATCCCACATGCCGCGGAGCGGCTGTGCCCGTGAGCCATGGCCGCTGAGCCTGCGCGTCCGGAGCCTGTGCTCCGCGACGGGAGAGGCTGCAACAGTGAGAGGCCCGCGTACCGAAAAAAAGAAGCCTTGGCATTGGATAAATGACTTAGTTTCCATTGGCCTTGGTGTCCTCATCTATAAAATGAGGCATATTTGACCAGTTGGTGATTAGTCAGGATTCTCCAGAGAAACAGAACCAATAGGATGTATGTATACATATATAAGAGATTTATTATAAAGAATTGGGTCACACAGTTATAGAGGGCTGGCAGGTCCAAAACCTGCAGGGTGACTCAGAGCCTGGAGACCCAGGAGAACTGATGTGCCAGTTCAAGTTCCAAGGCTGTCTGCTGGAAGAACCTTTGCTACAAATCAAGTCCAAAAGCAGTCTGCCTGCTGGAGAGTCCTCTCTTGCTTGAAGGAAGCTGGTCTTTTTGTTCTATTCAGTTGAAGAACTGACTGGATGAGGCCCACCCTCATTATGGAAAACAATCTGCTTTACTCAAGTCTACCAATTTAAATGTTAATCTTATCAAAACCACCCTTAAACATCCAGAATAATGTATGATCCAATATCTGGGCACCTTATGGCCTAGTCAAGTTGACACATGAACTCTAAGCAAATTTAATTCTAATATTTAGTAAAATTTTTAGTTGGTCACCGTCTGGTTGCCTGTGATAGCTCATCAGCCAGCGACAGTACTGTAACTGTCTCTGTCAAGTCGTAACCTGCAGGCATGGCTTAATTCATCTACCAGCTCTTTATTGGAACCCTTCTATGCTCCGGGCACTGTGCTAGGTAGAGAATTTGAATTTTATTCTAAGAGCAGGGAGAAGCCACCAAAAGATTTTAAACTGGGACATTTGATTTACATTTGAAAAGGTCATTTTGGCTGTGATGTGGAAAATGGCTTTGAGCAGGACAAGCATGGATATTAGTAAGGAGGTTCTTAATAAGAATCAATCAAAGACTTCTTGGTGGCCCAAGCTGGGGTGTTGATGACGAAAGTGTTGATACGATGTCTTTGGGAAAGCATTAAAATATGTGGCTGTCAGTTATCAGAAACTCATTGTCTGAAAGCAAGGCCGTCGAGCTTCAAGTCTGCATGATCCTTGATTTATTTTTTTCTCACACAAGAAATGAGATTACCAGTAACTGCTTTTGCATTGCAAATGATGAGAAGAAAACTATTTTAAAACACTCGCCACATAATTTTGAAAGAATCAATATGAAATGGTAAGATGTCAACACTTGACCCATCTTTTCCTAAATGTGAATCTTAAACTAATTTACTTGTAAGAAATGGAAAGGGCATTGAAAAAAATGGCCCACTTGGATGGAGGCAACCTATTCTAAAACTGTTCTTCACACACAGCTTCAGCAGAAGGTTATCATGCCTGTGAGCGAGCTTCAAGAGGAGTGCTAGTGTCTAGTGGTAACGTGGCAATGCAGCCTTTCTTGATCTCACTACAGCCTACATATCTGATCCCATCTCCCTGTGTTGGTGGCACTTGGTCCACAGGGAGCATTGCACGCAGTTTCATGCCATTTGCCTTTTTTTTTTTTTTTTTTCTTGCGTTATGCGGGCCTCTCACTGTTGTGGCCTCTCCCATTTGCGGAGCACAGGCTCCGGACGCGCAGGCTCAGTGGCCATGGCTCACGGGCCCAGCCGCTCCGCGGCATGTGGGATCTTCCCGAAACGGGGCACGAACCCGCGTCTCCTGCATCGGCAGGCGGACTCTCAAGCACTGCGCCACCAGGGAAGCCCCATTTGCCTTTTTGAGTACTCTTTCCTCTTCCTGGCTTGGCCCTCCCTGGTCTATCCAGAAAGTTCCCACTTATCCTTAAATACCTTGAGTTTTTTCTGCAACTTTATCTGTCCCCCAACCCACGCCAGCCCGAATTAGTTAATCCTTCTTCTGTGACACTCTGTGGGAACTCTAGGTATCACTTAGTATTTTATAGTGTGATTCTGTTTATCAGTTTGTCTTCCTCAGTAGACTTCGATGACTTGGGGACAGAGAGCATATTTATCTTAGCATCTTCCTTAAGCAAAAAGCCCACAAATATTTATTGAGCACATGCTGGGTACCAGTGTTATGCTTTCAAATTGTTTATTCTGTAAATTCTGTAAAGGCAGGGATTGTCTTTTTTGAATGAGAAAATTAAATATGGGGATGGAAAAAGATATTGCATGCAAAACAGAAATGACAAGAAAGCAGAGGTCACTATACTCATATCAGACAAAATAGACTTTAAAACAAAGGCCATAAAGAAAGTTAAAAAAGGACACTGTATAATGATAAAAGGATGAATACAAGAAGAAAATTAATGAGTTATTTACATTCAAATGTTATGACTACTTTTGATGTGCTTTTCTCAAACTTCTGGAATTATTTCTTAGTGGTAGCCTAATGTCACTAGACCAGATCCTTAAAGGTAATACTTTCTGGATAAAATCAAGAATGAGCTTTACATCTAGTGGCTAAAAGAGATCTTGTATTTTTAACAATCATTCTGTAGTCATTTGGTAGTTTTGTGTTATTCTTTGTGTTCCTTGGAGGAGGAGTCTAAATGCCTTTCTGCCTTCTTTCCAGGGACCATAATTTTGACTACTTGGAGTTTCGCCTTTGGATTGGCCTGTGGTCAGCCTTCATGTGTCTCATTTTGGTGGCCACTGATGCCAGCTTCTTGGTTCAGTACTTCACTCGCTTCACTGAAGAGGGCTTCTCTTCTCTGATTAGTTTCATCTTTATCTATGACGCTTTCAAGAAGATGATCAAGCTAGCTGATTACTACCCCATCAACTCCAACTTCAAAGTGGGCTACAATACTCAATTTTCCTGTGTTTGTATGCCTCCCAACCCAGGTGAGGACAGCATGCTTATGGTGTTTCTGCTTACCCTGTGTTTGGAGGAAGCCGTAGGCTCCATGCATGCAGACTTTCAACACGGTATCCCGATCCTCAGGAAGGGGTTTTATTTTCTCTGAGAAATCATCCTGCAGAATTTATAGTCTCATCGCCTGAGGTATCTTAGCCATGTGATGCAACCAGGAAGTGAAATCAGGAGCTCTGGGATGTGAACATAATTAGCTCAGTGCTTTGAAACTAACTCAAGCTACAGTATTTGCGAGGAAATTTTGTGTACGTTATTCTTGATCTTCTCTGATAGGTGCGGAAACCAGCTATCTATATAACATATTAAGGACCGTACCAACCTAGCGCTCTGAACTTCTGTTCCTTATTTTGCTGCTGCTTTATTGCTGTAGGAATCTCTTCCTCAAGTAAATTCTAAATAGATTATCTTAAACTTATAGAAGAAGCAAGATACTAATTCACTTTATATAATTTGAAGCATGAAATTAAGAAAGAAATTCAGACTAGAGTCACCCAGTGATAAAGTAGAGCTTTATAGTTCATCTGGGCTAGACAACGTAAATAAGAAAGGAAAGGAAAGGAAGAAACAAAAGAAAGAAAGAAAAGAAGGAATATTATGTTCTTGGAGAAGATTTATATTCTAGGGTTAGGAAAGACATAAAATTAACTTGTTGGTAAGGAATATGATTCTATACATCTTAGCACTTTAACATCCATCTTGCTAAACCTGAGTCAGCCTCAGAACCTTTTCACAGAACAGTGCTCAATTTGGTCTTTGGAATTTTTTCTTGGAGTAATTCATTATCACTTTATAACATGGAAGGCATTTGGGGGAAAAAAGATTTACTTTGGGGAAAGTTGCTTTATATCTGCTTTGGTAGAATGAGGGGTAGACATTTGTGTCAGACAATTAAATGCTAATAGTGCTGGTGATCCCTAGTTGTGACATTAGCTACATGTCATCGTCCCTTAAAATAAAAATTGATATACTTTTTGACTAAGGTCTTGTAGCACCAGAAGCACAGCAGCGTATTGAGGGCTGTGTAAACCTGGGCTTAAACATAGGGCACATTCATGTAACAGCCATTTATCTATACATTCTAAGGAAAAACCACTTACTGTTTACAGTAAAACAAACATGGTTTTGTTATAGACTAGAATGCAAGATGCTTAATTCAAAAGCTCATCAAGAACTATGAAGAATTTTAATGCTTGTGCAGGCTGTGTCAGATGACTCCTGGCTATTTTGCTGGTATATCTGCCGCCTTCTCTGCCACTTTGGTGGAGAAGTCTTATATGACCCGTATGCATCTTGAGAGGTGAGAGGAAAGAGAACAGTATCTCCCTAAAAATGGGTCAGTCAGTGACACTGGTGAAAAGATAGGGCATTGTTGGGTTTTGCACTTATGGATTCTTTTTGTCTTGTTTAAGGAAAATCAGCTCACATTGAAATAAATCCCATGCTTATTAAAAGCAAGCAGAGACAGGTAAAAAGTGGAAATTTGAAGATTCAGGCAACACGGGTGCCGTAGATATAAAGACCTATTATCGTTAAGATGTATACTGATTAGAAATATTTCAAAACTTAAGAAGTGTTTGGAAAAGAGTAAGCACTTAATACATGACAGATATGATTAGAACCAATTAAATATCCTCCCCAGAGAGACGCAGAAAATGTGTTGCCATTACACAACTCCTAGAACTCTTCCTGGGAGAGAAGGGGGTAAAACTCCCTCTAACCGTGCATCCTGGACATTGCGGGGGAAGTCCAAACCACACACATTCAAAATATCGGATCACAGACATATTAAATTGTGGGATTTTGAACTTTCCTTTTTACTTATTTGTTTCTATCTATCTATCTATCTATTTACTTGTGGAAAAGTCTGTGTGCTGACTTCTTAGGCATTCTGAGTAATCATACGTTAAGATTTTCTAGAGGAAAAAATATACTACCAGCTGTTTGGAGGTTTGAAGTGTTCATGAACCAAATGAGGACTTTGTCAGCACACCTGTCACAAAGATCTCCCTAGTGTCAGCCCCACACCTACCTGAGGCTATTGGAAACTTGCATTCATTGTTTTAATTGGATGCTGGCAGAGAAGGTAATTTGAAACCAGGGAAGACATATCTGAATGCGTTTTCATTGTGAAAAGTACAACAAAAATTTTACATGTAATTTTCCTTCCAAGAAGGATTTCTGTTTTCTTGAGAAAGTGATATTGAGGCTTGAACCGATTTTACCCATGCATAGCAAATGCTGGCTGAGGGGGTGATAGATAACTTTTCCTTTGACCTATTTTCCCTAGGTTGTATAAAAAGTCTGTCCTAAATAGCTAGGAGCTGTCTTGGAAGGATTCTGGCAATTCCACTAACTCTAGGGGTTACCAATAAAGCAGCGTAGCAGGGCTTTGAAGTCAGAAAATCTTGTATTCAAGTCCCTCTTGGCTAATGCCCAGTGTGTGACTTTGGGCAAGTTCCTTTACCCAAGGAAACTTTGCCTCATCTTCCTTACCTATAAAATGGGGTTAATAATAGTACCTTCCTTAAAGAACTGTTTTGAAGAAAAAAATGAGGTCTTACAGACAAAGCATTTAGGACAGTTTCTAGTAAGTAATTGAATGTTAACCATATAACAACCATTATTATTGCTGTTGTTATTTATTAAAATTTAGGGTTCATAAGTATGAATGACAGGACAAGCAAACCAGTTTTCATCATCCTCCATTCTAAGCAGATGTTGTTGGGCAATTGGCTCATTCTGCAGCAAGACTGTTGGTTGCACCCCTTAGTTTTAGAGTCGTTCAGACGAGTGGCACTCATGGGAGATATGTACGTGAATGTGAGGGATTATTTAATCCATGGAGATGAGATCTGTTTCTGGTATGGAAAAAGGCAAATGGTTATTTGCATTTTCAGGACAATCTCATGTTTTACAAAACCCTTTTTAAGATTAATGATCGTGTATTTCTCCCATAACCTTAATCCTTTTTGATAGAAGACTGCATAGACCCACCATAAATTTAGTTCTTCATGACAACAAACTGAAAACCAATAGTGAGAGAATAATACAGTTGTATATACAGCTAGAGTAAGTGTTCTAAAAACAATAAAAGACTGGTCTTTCATCGCAACGTGCACTCCTAGTAAAAGAATTCAATCAATGAGCCAATAATATTTAAACTGGCAGATGACTTGTTTTTCAACACTGGGACAGTATGTAAGGATGAACCAGCAGCTGCGCAGATGGAGTCGTGATCCTGCAAACTGAAGAATGATTTTACAGGAAAGGAAATAGGGGTCACTTAATCGCTAAGAAAACTATATTCGTGGCCACAATAATATTGTGGCTTTTTGGGTGCTTTGTGAAGACAACTCTTCTTCCCCCCTTCCTGATCTTTCTTGTTCTCACTTGCTTCCATAAAACTTCATCATCTCCTGAGTTTCCTCTTCTTAATGCACCTTTTCATCCCTTCCTCCTGCCCCCATCTGCTGCTCAGTAACCTGTCATACACCCAGGTTCTCATTTACTGAAGAACTAAGGAAGCTCAGTTGCAATTGCTAGGAAAGTTAGCCGTGAAATTTGACATATCAGTCAGGTTTTTATTAGCACCTGGTTTTTGTGCTAGCATTCTCTTTTCCTAGAAATAGGATAGTTATTAATTAATGTATTAATAGAGGTAATAGATGTTCTATTTCCCACTCTGCCTTGATGGCTACATAGCAGAGGGGGTATATAGGAAAGAAGATGATTCAGTTCAAAAGCCCAGAATGAAAACTGAACAATATCCAGTTGAAGGACAATTCACAATATTTCATTCATCACCAACATCCCAATTTAGAAAACTGTTAGTGTGATAAAATATAAACCATAAATTCTTTGGAGTAAAGGAAACTGAGTTTGAATTTTAGCTCTAGTTAGCAGCGTGACCTTGGGCCAGGCTGATTTCCTAATGTCATTGTTTTATAATCTGTGAGCTGGGTTAGTAATTGTACCTACGCTTAGAGGTTACTATAAGGATTAAATGAAATAGGATATGTAAAATTGTTTGGCACCTAATAGTAAAAATTTGTTGTTTTTCTCATTTCTCACTGTCCCACAAAAGATGCCCCAGCAGTTAAATCTTTTAGTTGTATTCTTTTAAAGGGGTTCACACGTTTAACTTCCCTAGAAAGGGAAGTTAAATTTAAATTTCCATTTTAAAATTCAATTTAAATTTTAAATTTTCCTAGGAAAAGATATTGACTAGTCTTCACTGTAAGCTTACCAACAAACAAACAAAAACTAAGGTACTGTTGTAGATAAATATGAAACATTGAAGTGGTATTTAAAGGGAAAAATGTTAAGGCGTTCAGTGTATCATAGTTAGATCATTTAATACTATACCCCTGAATCTCAAGACTACAAAAGTGTTGTACACTGTACACAGTCATGTAGAAAAAGGCTTTAAAGTCCCAGAGGTGAGATACCTAGTTCTTCTAAGAAGAGTCTATCTACGTAATTCATTCAGAAACTTAATGCGGGCTTCCCTGGTGCCGCAGTGGTTGAGAGTCCACCTGCCGATGCAGGGGACGCGGGTTCGTGCCCCGGTCCGGGAAGATCCCACACGCCGCGGAGCGGCTGGGCCCGTGAGCCATGGTCGCTGAGCCTGCGCGTCCGGAGCCTGTGCTCTGCAACGGGAGAGGCCACAACAGCGAGAGGCCCGCGGACCGCAAAAAAAAAAAAAAAACACATTAATGCTAGAATTCTGTAAATAGGGAACAGGACGTAGACTTTCCTCCTTCTCTTTCCGCCTCTCCTTCTCTTCCTTCTCCTGCCTTTTCTTCTTCCCCTTCTGCTATCAACAAAAATTTGAGGGTGCAGTTCATTGCTTTTTAAGAATTGTGCTACTTGCAATGAAGCAGAACACACACCACACACTTACACATGCATGTACACACACATACATATATACACACTGCTTTTTATAAAATGAGTTGCTTTTTAATTA